CTCAAGGGGGGCTTTCCTGCTCTCTTCCATAAAATGCCGCGTTTGGCAGCAAACACAGCTGCGATGGATTAGTGTCGGGTTGTGGGTCCTCGCGGCCTGTGCCGGCCTCTCGACGAGAAGCAAGGGTTCCCAACAAGCAATTCGCCCCTCGCACCCAGTCGAGGGATTTGGGGTCTATCTTTACTGCCTAATGGCAGAGAGGTCAATAGCGGGGCAGCGCCACTACAGTCCTCGTATACCGGGAGGCTTTACCCTCCCTCACCGTTCTGACGGGACGCTCGGCTGGGGGCCTCGGTCGGAGCCTCGAGCGCCCATGTAAATGGTCAGCGGCGCTCTCGGCAGTTTAGGGTTTAGGGTTTAGGGGTTCCTCTTTGGGATTACACTTTATAGGATTCTATATATGAACCCCAAATAGGAACTACTTTAGGGCCTATGGGTAAGCTACCAGATCCGCAGAAGTGCGCCGCTGTGAAAGGTGTCAGTTTTAGGGGTTTAGGGGTTTAGGGTTTAGGGTTTAGGGTTTTGGGTTTTGGGTTTATGATTTGGGGATGTTTGGGGCTTGGGGTTTAAAGATTTTCCAACATTTGAAAATCTGGTGGCTGCAAGCTCTCATCTGGCATGGCTTCGTGGACATCTTCGAGTTCCTTACGACCCACCTCTCGTAGTAGAGTCTGGGTTAAGGACCATCATCGCAGGATCCCTGGGGGTTAGATGCATTGTATGTTTTTCCTGAACCCTAAAGAACCTACCTTTTCAGGGTTCTGTATTATGATTCTTCATACAAGTCCTTAAAAAGGTTGGTTATTTGGGGTTAAGGTTTGGTAAGAGAAAATGGTACGAAATGCACAATAATCGAAGCTCGCCATTATCGACTTTAAAACCGCCTACACCGACTAGATAGCCAGCAAGACCCATGTCAAGCTCATCGAAGCCAAAACATAAATACCCGATTCAAGGAACCATATACGAAGCTCTTTTATGCCAACTGCATCAAGCCTACAAGAGCTGTCCATAGCCTGTACACAGGAGGTATTTGGAGCCCCATGCCTAAACCTTATAAACCATAAACCCTAAACCCTAAGCCCTAACCCCTAAACCTTATAAGTTATAAACCTTGAAGACCGAAAGGGGTTTAGGGTTTAGGGGTTTAGGGGTTTAGGGGTTTAGGGTTTAGGGTTTAGGGATTTAGGGGTTTAGGGTTTAGGGTTTAGGGCTCTTGAGGGCAGTCCCTTGAACTCCAAAGCAAACCCCAAGCCTCACACACTCACCGGTTCCATAAATCGTAAACTTCCAACCTCTGTAGAACCCCGAAGGAAACCTTACAGGCATGCTTTTAGGGTTTAGGGTTTAGGGTTTAGGGTTTAGGGACCTTTTACAGAAACCCTCCTCCCCCACTTTTCCCTCCCGCCCCGCACCTCCTGGGCCTTTCCAGGCAATCGCCCTGATGTTCGAAAAACTTGCCGAGCCGCACGGCTTCGACGACGTGCCGCCCGTCGGCAGAGTTGTTTTGTCTGTTTTGGATTTTGCCTGGGTGGATTGTTAAGAGTTCTTCTTTTATTTGTTTCTTTCTTTGTAGGGGAGGCGGAGCGTCGTGAAGGTGTGCTATATGCGGTGGTTATGGGGTGGTAGCCATAAGCATCGTTTGACGAGTCTTACATCGAGGTTTTCGGTAGGTGTTGGGCCGCGCCGTAGGATTTGCTAGGATGCCCCAGGCCCTGCTGTTGGCCCTTCGGTTTTTGACACGTAAGGAAGACCTCGTTTTTGTTTAAACTTTGATGGAGTTTCCATTCTGCTTGTGTTTTACGCGGCTTTCGTTTTCGGTGAGTCTCTATCTGGATCGAAAAGTACGCCAGGTTTATTCGGAGGTGGAAGTCATAGGTGACATTGAAGATTATGGGCAACCTCTCAACTAGCGACATGAAGAAGGAGGCTAGGTGAAGCTCGTGGCGCCGAGAAGAGCATGCGACATTGGAATGCAAAGCTTGGCAATAAGTTTGCAGAGGGCTACGTGGCACACCAAGCCTGAAGTGTTGCTCACGACTTGCTCACCACTTGTGCGCACTCTTCCACAGGTCATGTCACATGTGTGATGGTTAGATCCTAGCTGAAAGCGCAGAAGCCCGAGATGTTGAACCCTAAACCCTAAACCCGCCCGCGGCCCAAGCTGAGATCGATTCTCTGGTGTCTTGCGGTTTGCTTGTGGGTTTTTCTTTGGTGTCAATTGGGGTGTTAAGACCTATGACCGATGGTATGCGCCCGACAGATTCCGAGCCCTGAGCCCTAAGACCTGCAAATTCAGCCCTAAACCCTAAACCCTAAACCCCAAACCCTAAACCCTAAACCCTAAACCCTAAACCCTAAACCCTAAACCCCAAACCCTAAACCTCAAAACCATAAACCCTAAACCCTAGAGCCCCTTGCAGAGCCCTCCCCTAGCGAGCCCCTTAGGGCGCACAGAGCTCGAGCCCACAACCAGAATAGAGATCTGAAGCGGTAAGCCCTAAACTCTAAGCCCTAAAATGTTCAGCTGCAAGATCTAGTTCTAGTGGTTATTTTGTTAGAGTTCAGCCAGCCCCGAACCCTGGAACAATTGCTTTGAAGGGCCCATATATACAGTGGCATCTCCAACCTGTTTCTGGTCGGGGAAAAGGGTTTGCAAGATCATCTAGGTTGTGCTAGTTCGGTTTGTGTTTACGGCCCATTTAGCGTTAAAGTTTCGCGATGTGGGGTATAGTATTGCCAGCTCAACATGTCGGGATTGGTTTCTGGACATCCGGAGTTAGTGGATCCCCCCAACAGCAACGCTAAAATCGACGCACTTGGGAAAGATATGACGGAAAGCCATGCCCTTGGGCCTTTCTTGCAAAAGGCTAGGGGTTCCGACTCTCCGACAGTTCCCATATGCCCTTTGCTATTTGGGGGTCTCCTTGTTCCCAGCGTCTCGTTGAGGAAGAGCGGGTATGCACTCGGGGGTTTAGTCTATAGTTTAGGGCTCAATTAGGCTATTGGGTTTTGGGGTTTGAAGTGCAGGGCTCAAGGTACAGGCCAGCAGGCCAGTATAGACCCTGTTACACTAAACCCTAAAACCCCAAACCCTAAACCCTAAACCCCTAAACCCTTAAAACCCTTAAACCCTTAAGCCCCAAACACAGACACCATCCCGAGTCACTCTGCCCAGGCACGTTCTGCATGTTCGGCACGTGCCAGAGTCGCCTGGACGAAATGATTGCAAGGGCATCAAGGGAGGTTTGCGTATCAGGTTGCAGGGAAACCGTAAACCCTACACCCTAAACCCTAAACTCCTACAAAATATGGTTCGGGTACTGAGTGACAGGAGTGAGAGAGCTCGTACTTTCGCATGTGTAGTAAGTGTAGTAATTGCAGGGTGCTGACAAACAGCGGTTGTGGGTGCATTGTTCCACTGTGTACCCAGTTCCCCGTGCAAGCTCAATATTGAGCAAGCTTCGGGCGGATGGAAAGAGGCTACTGCACTTGAAAACAACTTCCTACATAAACCCTAAACTCTAAACCCTAAACCTCCCTAAACTCCTAAACCCTAAACTCCTGCACCCTAAATCCTGCACCATGATTGGGATCTGGGGAGAACCCGAAGCCTCCGCGAGTTCCCAGAACCCGAGATCCTGCAGACCTGAGCCGAAACCCCAAGTTTAGGGTTTAGGGTTTGGGGTTTGGGGTTTAGGGTTTAGGGTTTAGGGTTTGGGGTTTGGGGTTTAGGGTTTAGGGTTTAGGGTTTAGGGTAGAGTAGGTAACTTTTAACATTTTCGGGGTAATAGTCCCTGTATAATCCCAATATACCCCCGAAGGTTAGCCTTTAACTTTCCAGGATGCTGTGCAAGTAGGAAAGGGATCTAGAAATGAGCTGCCTGAGTAAGTAGTAATACTTTTTTTTAGGGTTCCTTACCTATAGGTGTATAGCAGAACTAGGAATGCCATGCCTCAGGGATCCTGATTCATAGCTATAGTACCAGCATTCCTTAGGGTTCCTGGCTATAGTTACATACATGGGTAGTTCTCCAAATTAGGTTCCCTCTTACGGTCCACAATATAGTAAGGCACTAAACCCTAAACCCTAAACCCTAAACCCTAAACCCTAGGCGTCTCGGCTCAGGGTTTTGCCGGTTTGGCATACCTGAGCCTTGAACCCTTTGCGCGGTCTTCGGACCCGCGATCTGACGTTGGCCGGTGGTCCGCAAGTGCGCCCGGTACAACCTCCTCCCCCGTTGAGCCATTGGCGCGGGGTCTCGGCTTTCACTGATCTGGTTCGCCCTGGTGAAGTCCTTTTTTGCTCCGCTCCGGCGTTGAGCCTCTGGCAGACTGCAGCTCAACCTGCTCTGCTACAATCCCGTTTACACCTTTTTGGTGGAGTTTTCTCTTATATGTTCAGGTGCTGCCTTTTTTGGCTATTGTGCAGCAGGGCCTTCGACCACGAAGTCGCGAAGGCCGCCTACGGAATCGGCTGCTCACCGGCGACAGAGACGGGAGCGGACCTCAGCCAGAACTATCCTGCGAACCTTTCTGGACCAGACAGCACAGTACAAACTGCATACAGTTTTGACAGCGTGCGAGCTTCTGGAGCAACACCACAGTGGGAGCCAACTTCCTCGAAGAGCTCGCCTCGCAGTTGCAGCTATGACAGGTTCGTGGAAATGTACGGCGTGCCGCAAGTGGAACAAGGCCAATTCAGTTTACTGTCCACATTGCGGAGCACACTGGGAACAGGTGACGGAGAGTTATGCGGCCACGCCAGCAGCGACGCCGTGGCCGACAAACCCGACTCCATGGACTACACATTCGTCGAGGACATGGCAAGGACAGCAGAGGCCGCCAAGGAGTGCATCGCCCCGACGCCGAGGCAAAGGCAAGGGGCAAGCTGGTGGACAAGGACAGGCCAAGTCGCAGGGCAAAGGTCTGGGCAAACCGGCTGCGGCGATCAAAGGGGCTCTGCCAGAAGCAGTGAAGCCCACGGTAGAGTCTCTACCGGTGCTGCCGAAAGCAGGGGCGGTGCCCAATCCGAAGGCACCACAGGGACCCCAAGCACTGCCATCCACCGAGAAGCAGCAGCTGGATGCCCTGGTCAAATGCCTGGGCAACATAAAGGAGGCGCTCCCAGCAGAAGCGGTGGAAGCGATCGAGCAGTTGCAGCTACACAATACCCACGATACTACAAAGGAGATGCATCGTGCGGTAGCGGCCCAGTCAGCTGCCAAGAAGCAACTGATACAAGTCAAGGCGGCAAGGGCGGCTTATATAGCTGCCTGGAACGAGTACATCATCCAGGTGTCCGACCTCATCAAGACTCAAGTGCAGGACCAGGCCACGCAATTGGAACATTACGACAATGCGGAGGCAGCATGGGCGTCGTCACTCGAGAAGGCGACGGCCGATTTGTCTCGGATGGCCACAGGCTCGGCCATACCGATTCAGGACGACGGGGAGACGGACATGGATGTGGCAGAGGCGCTGGTGGACCACGACATCGAGACCACCAAGGAGCTCGAGGACCGCCGAAACCAGCAGTTGGCGGAATCGGCCAAGCTAGTGGAGGCAATGGCTGCTCTCAAGGAGTCGGCGGCACAGCGACTCGAGCAAGAGTCTTCCGAAGTCAGGGAAGGCTCGAGAACACCGCGACGACAGAAGCAGCCAGCGGTAGACCTTACCAAAGAAGGAGACAAGGGCGACAAGGAAGAGCAGCCAGATGGTGCTCAGCCAAAGCAGCCGCGACAACAGCAGCAGCCGCCCTCGCTACCGAGGCCCCCTGGTGGGGCCAGTGCGTGAGCTTTCGAGGACCGCACTGGCCGAAGGAATCCGGCATGCCTTTTCTTACAGTATGCCGTGACAGCAGTTTTGTGGCGCCCCATTGGGCATGTCTTTTTGCCTACAATCAGAGTCTGGAAGTACGCTTGCAAGAGCTACCCGGACTACAACCTCACACCTTTCTCAGTGACCCTCGTTTTGAGGATGATGAGCTGGAACAGTGTGAGACAAGAAGTTGGGTCACGAAGCCATGTGAAACCGGTGGGGACTGGTTTCCTTCGCCTACTGAGTCACTCTTGTGTGAAACCGCGAGCAGGCGTAGTCTTTGCTGTACAAAGAGAGTTGTCTTCTCCGGTGATGGGAATGGATCCCCTCCCGGTTGCAGGCGGCTTCAGCCACCTGTTTTGTTTGGCTTTCAGAACAGTGCTGGCTCGTCGTTGCATACTACCCCCTATAAGCTGCGGCCCTCAGTCTCTTTTGAATCTCCTCCTCTTGGAGGACGGAAAGCGCAGTGCAATGCCTGGATTCGGCAAATTCAGGCTACCTTACAACAGTGCCCGATCCCCGGTGGTTCGGCAAAGAGCCTTGCACTTTTGGCAAGTCGCCCTCTGTCGCAGCCAGCACATGTTTGCATGGCACCCGGACCACTTCCTCAAAGCTTTCCTCCTTATGAAGGAACTCTGCCCTCCCTTCGCCTCCACCTTGCTGCGCAAGTTCATGTTTCACCCGATGAACTTGACAGGCCTGAAATAAGAGGGCGGGCACTCACGAGCTTTAATTGGGCCACAGGACACCGTGCCATGGGTGCGGTGACTGAAGGCGCAGGCCAACTCGACCGCTACGTGGTTTTCGACCCTGCGTTCCATGCAAGAATAAGACCTCTGCCTAGGGGGTGGACGATAGACCAGCTGATTGCGGAACTGACAAGCACCTACCCAAGGCTTCGTCATGTCAGGTTCCTGCAACACCAACTTCCACACCTCCCTAGCGTACAGGTATCAGTGACCATGCGTGATTTTCCGCAAGGAAGCTTCACGCTCCCTGTGGATTTCAGGCAAATGGAAGGGAGGATTTGCTCCATCCGGGCAGCCCCCAGTCTCGACCACGGAGAGCTGGCTCTGATGTGTCAACGGGACTGCCCGACTAATCGTCTCCCTCGCTCTCCCTTCGGGTTGGTGGATTGCTATGACCATCCACTGCAAACCGTTCGTGCCGTTGTCGACCAACCTGACTATGGTCGAGGGGTTCCTGCGGGTGACTTGATTGAGCCACAAGATGAAGTTGGAGAGCCCGATGCTGCACAGATTGAGACTCCTGGCCAAGGAGCTGACCATGACCTAGACGAGGTCGGTCTGTTTCAGAACTTGCGTCTTACCAGCTGGCAGGTCGGTACCTTGTCGGAACCTACAGCTGAGAAACAAGCTCCGCCAGCCCTTTGTCTGATCCCAGATCCATGCCCACCCATTGCAAAGAGGCCACCGCTTCACCCAGACAATGAACATCCCAGTCGACCTCGATCCAGTGTACCTGGAGAGGATTGTATCGTGCCTACCTTCGCACAGAAACTTAAGTCTGAGCCGCTGCTGGTGGAACCTCCAGCCTACCGGGACTGGAAGTTTTTCGACAGGTCAGTCCATTGTCGCCTTAGCTGTCGCAAGAGCGCCGTTCGAAGTGGTCAGCCTGCAATTACTCACCACCCCGCTCGACGGCCTCCCAAAGCCACAACTTGTGCTTTCGGAACAAGCAAGGACGGTTGGAGAGATGCCCATCCCTTGGGACTTGAGGGGACTGGACCTTCAGATTCGTACGGTCAGACACAAGCCGGCGCAATTTGTGAGCGACGCCCTCATAGAACTGCAGACCTTGCTCCCGGCAGGTACCGATCTGGATGGCCTTTGGCGTTCTGCAGCATTACACATTGCTGATGCCCTGGGACCTCTCCCTGAGCGTCTCCCAGATGACCTTCATGACGTGCAGGCCTTTCGGGCCTTCCGTGTTGTGTCCGAAGTACTGCAAGTGCGCGAGCTCCGAGCACCAGTCTTCTTTGGAGGATCGGGTGCTTTCGAGACCACAACAGTCACAACCACTGGCGTGCACGCCTTCGGCACAGCTACATGCCCGCCCGTCCTTAGGCTAGTTGTGTTCAGGGGTGATCTCTCGGTGAGCATTGATCTGACGTCCCCGTACACTGCCTTCGATGAGGCTATGGCAAGGCTCCTTCAGCATTTTCACTTGCAGAGGCCATTCCATGCTGGATCTACGGTCACATTGGCCAGGGCACTCCCTCCTCAGCTTGGGTATCTGCAAGAAGTTGTTTTCGTCATTAATGATGAGCACGGGCAGGTTCCTGTGGTCTGGGATGCTAGGGGCATAGGGGGTGCCATGGTTGTTCACTATGTCCCTTGGATCACTGTTTGTGAATTTGTGATGCCGCAGACCTGGCGCTCGCAGCGCTGGACTTCAGCAGTCAATGGATCACCGGTGCACCTCGTGCCACGAACAGTCGCGCCCGGTGATTTCATACAACCACACTGGGGTGACAGGCCCCCACAAGCAGTGCCCCAAAGCCTTGTTCTGGATCTGGTGCCTCAGCTTGGCACGTTTACATGGCCGTTCCCTTTGTCAAGCTTCTCGAGGATGTTCTTGCCAAGGATCAGAGACCGTAGGTGGCGGTTGGGGTTTGACGCCCTAGCCACCGTGCAACACTGTGTTGTTGGGCCGCAACATGGAGACCTTCGTATTCATGTTGCTACGGGCAGACCCCTTGATCATGCGGAACTTATTTCATATCTTCAACGGCTTGACCATCCCCCCCAATGGGATCTCATCGTGCCAGCTGAAGTAAGTAGACCACATGGTGCCATTTTCCTCACCGCCGCGCGCAACTCTGACTACAGGTCAGTCCTTACCCCGGCGCCAGGCTTTAGGGGGCATTTCTTTCTCCTCTTGGTATCGGCTCAGGCACGGGTCTTGCGTGGTATTCCCTCTACGGCTGATAACATCCTTTACCCACGCATTGGCCTTCGTCATGGTGATGTTCTCGATCCGGCAAGATTCGAGTTCCCACCCATCCCCAACTCAAGTGAAATCGAGGCCGAGGCGGACACTCAGCCCATGCCGATGCCCAATGAGCCGACTATCGCCGAGGCTGCCGGCCGGAGCGAACCAAGGTCACCAGATGAAGAAGCCACAATCAGCCAGCACCATGATCCGGTAGCTATGCTTCAGTTGCAAAGCAGGCTGTTCTCTAGGATGGCGCAGAATCAGCAGGAAAGTACTTTCCCAACTCAGCGCGAGGTACACACCGTCGATGGACAGGGAAAGAAGGCGCCCCATGGCGTCATTGTGCCCACCCCTTTTGGTAGGCGCTCTCTACCGGAGACTACTCCGGTCTCACGTCCCAAGACGCTCATCCTTGAGGACCTGATAGGACCTATCTCAGCGCCAATTGAAGCGGCCCTCCACTTCCCTACGACCAGTGAGATGCCTGAGTTGCTCTTTGAGCCCTTTGGACTGCATGCATTCTGCTTGACCATTCCCAAGCAAGTGCGTCTGCACAGGGCGGCGCAGCGACTCCTTGACAACCTCACAACGTGGGACCAAACCAGCCGCTTCGATGCCGCCATGTTTTTCATTGATGGTTCGTATAAGGACGAACAGGCCTCTTGGGCTATTGCTGGATTTGTCCTTGTTTCAGGAGTCTGGCAGTGGGCAGGTTATCTAGGGGCCGTCCTGGATCCCAAATTTGAAGCACGCTCCTCCTACGAGCCGGAGCTAATGGCTCAATTGGCTGCACATTGCGCTGCAGCCCAATGCCAGGCACCGGTTGCCATCTATTACGATTCCACTGCAGCGGCCCAGGTTGCAGGAGGTTCACAGGCGCTTGGAGGCAATAACGCGATTGCGGACGCTCTCGTAGCAGCGGCAGCCTACTTGCGGACCGCACATAAATCCCCCTTGTTGCAGCACACTCCGTCACATCAAGGCAATCCTGCAAACGAACTTGCAGATTCGCTGGCCCAAGCGTTTCTTACGGCAGCCAAACCTGAGGTGCATGATGTGTTTGAGCCACTTCGGGACTCGATACTGGCAAGAGACTTAGCGTGGTTGTGGGTTCGAGCGCCGCGCTGTGGGACTGTGCCTCCTGTGGACCAGTGGGGTGATTCTTTTCCTGCTAGGCGTGTTTTACCGGGCCGGGTCATCCCCAAGCCAGCCGAGTTTGCACCACCCTTGGCAGCCTCCCCACAGAACACCCTTTGTTGTGAGCTTCGGCTTGTTTCTTACAATGTCCTCTCAGCAAAGGCTGCTCTGCAACGACAGTGCTTGCAAACTGCTTTCAGGCAAGGTCACTTTTCGGCCTTGGCATTGCAGGAAACCAAATACGCGGCCGAACCGGCGCAGGTTGTTGATGGTGTGCTTCGCCTATCTGGGCCTTGCCAGCACGGCGAGGAAGGTGTTGCCCTATGGTTCAACGTGGCTAGTGAAGGGGTTCCTTGGAACCGGGCTCACATTGCCACTACCTTCGCACACGCCAGACTCCTAACTGCGCTAGTTAGCCTTCCGGGCCTCAAGCTTATGTTCTTCTCTGGTCACGCCAGGCCTTCCACGGCCACAGCCGACCAAATTGACGAGTTTTGGGATCTAGTCAGGCAAAGGCTTAGAGCGCTACCCCCTGATACTGCGCCCGTGCTGCTAGTCGATGCCAACGCCAGGTTCAGTGAGGAAGCGGGTTGCCTCCGGCCGCTCAATCGCAATGCCCGCCATTGGCAGCAAATTCTGACCGATTACGGTCTCAGCCATACGGGGATACGTGCCTCTGATGGGGCCCTGCTCCGTACGTGGACCTCACCTTGCGGCCAAGGTGCATGCCTCGATTTCATTGGCTTCCCGTCCACCTGGACCCAGGCACTTCGGCATGTTGGCACAGTTGAGCTGGTTGACGAGTTCACCGGCATCGACCATGACCCTTTGATGGCCTGCTTCCAGCTCCAGTTCACAGCGCAGCCTCAGAGGAAGGGGCCCTATGATCTTGAGGCCATGCACACAGGCGATGGACGTGCCACGGTCAGGAAAATACTCGAAAGGGCACCGCAAATTACTTGGCCAGTTGGTGTTGATGAGCACGTGTTCCAACTGAACACCTATTTCCAGGAGCAATTGCAGCTGCACTTTGCCTGCCCAAGAGCACGCCCCAGGCACCCAGCTCTCTCTGCTACAACCTGGTCCCTGCTTCGGGCAAAGCGGGGGCTCAGGCGGGCTTTCAGACGCAAACGTCACCTGGATGAGAAGCGTCTTGTCTTTGTTATTTTGTCGGCATGGAAAGCTCAGACCAGTGGCGGAGATGGGCCCCCTTTACAACGCGCCATCGAGCAGATCAAAGCAGCTGACATAGCAGCTGCCAGTTACGGCAAGGCTATGCGTGCGCTTCAGGCCCGCATCCGTGCCTCCTTCCGTGCCGATACTGCCAATTTCACAAGGTGCATGTGGAAGGAAGCAAGAGCGGGTGGACCCGCAGAGATTGCCAAGCTCCTTCGATCAGTGCTTAAGGCAGGAAGGAGCTACAAGCCCCAACGAACAGCGGTGGCCCTTAGTGTTGGGAATGAGACAGTGACGGGCCCAAATGAGGTTGCAGAGGTCTTTGGCAGGACTTTTGCTGTGGCTGAACAGGCCCATGCCGCGAGCTTCGTCTCCTTGCAATGTAGGGAGCCGACTGCGCAGGGTAGCAGCAAGCGCTGGTTGGTGGAACAGATGCCGTCTGTGGTTCAACTTGCAGCGTCCTTTGCTTCCCTCAAGCCAAGAAGGGCTGCAGGCCCCTCAGGAATTCCTGCCGATTTCTATGCAGCGGACCCGCTTGGTTCGGCCCTGCTCCATGCCCCTGTTGTTCTGAAATCCCTGACAAGGTCGCGGATCCCGGTTCTTTGGGGAGGTTGCCTCTCCAGGCCCCTCCTGAAGCCAGGCAAAAGGCCGGATGATCCCGCAAGTTACAGGGCTATAGCCCTACAGGAGCCTGCGTCTAAAGCCGCGCACAAATCCCTCCGCCCGCACCTGTGTTCCTGCTTTGAAGGCATTGCGTTGGATGGTGTCGGGGGGGCAAGGCCACATTTTGCGCTGGCCGTCCCGGCCTTGACGGTCCAGTCTGCCATCTCTTTTGCCCAGACCCATAAAAGGTCCATCAGTGTGATCTTCTTCGATGGGGTCGCTGCTTTCTATGCTACAGCAAGGTCCAGCCTCTTTGCGTTTGATAAAAATGATCTGGAGCAGGAGCTCCTGCGAGGACCCTTTAACCAGGAAGCCGTCTCAGCCTTTCTTGCGTTCCTGCCAGAGGGTGGTGCCCTGGCGACGGCTGGCGTTAACCCAGCGACCATTGCAACCTTGCAGGCGTCCATGTCTCACACATGGTATACGACGCTCCTGGACTCCGAACAGGTCTACGAGACGTCCAAAGGCACTGTGCCAGGGGCACCACTGGCAGATATACTGTTCCAGTACGTCTTCCACGCTGCAGTTGCGGCCCTTAACTTTCTCCTTCGCCGCCACGGCCTTTCCCTTGGGGTTAGTTACGGGGGTTGCGATCACACGGCCGAGCCATGTTCATGGCTTGATGACCTCACTGTCATTATCCAAGCCGATGAGGCATCTACCCTCGTCGATGCAACAACAAAGGCCGCGCAGTTGACGCATCAGTGTATGGGAATGATTGGAATTGAGGTCAACTACGGACCCAATAAGACGGAGGCCTTGATGCTGTGGAAGGGCAAAGGCAGCAAGCGAGCGCGTGATCAAGTGCTCTTGGACCACAACGGATTGGTTCCTTTGGGCCTTTTGAGTGACTGCCCTAGGTGGTTGAGGTGCACGGATTGCTACGCACATCTGGGCACGGCGAGGGCCACCTCAGCCAGTGCTAGCCTAGATGTTGATCGGAGGGCTGGGCTTGCCCGGGCGACATACCAGCCGCTTCGTCGGCGCTTGTTAAGGAACCCCGAGCTCTCTGTCAAAGAGCGATGCAATCTGCTGTTTTCGATTGTTCTGACTTCCTTTACTTACGGTCTTGGGACGTGGCCTTTTGCTTCGGAATCAGAGCAACGTCAATTTGCCAGCAAATATATGATGTTTCTTCGGGGTGCCTGCCGTCCGATTTTGGGCGTCCCCTGCAGGCGCCTCGATATCGAGCAGACCTGCTCGTTACTTGGTGCCCTCACACCACAGGAAGCACTCATCGATGCCCGTGTCCGTACCTTCACGCAAGTTGTTGAAAGAGGCTCCCCTTTCCTCCGCGCACTTGTGCTCAGCGAAGGCACTTGGCTGAATGCTGTGCACAAAGATATTGGGGTCCTGGGCCAAGTCCTTCAATCTCCGACCCTCTTGTCCCTCCAGTCTTCTCAGACTGTGGACCTTTGGGAGGCATGGACTTTTACTTCCAAGGACACCTCCCGCTTGCTGAAGCGTTTCAAACGTCGATGCATCGAGTCGCGTCAAGCCCTCCGAGATACGGCGTGGCGCAAGGCCTCGCTACATCAATGGCTTAGTGACAATGGGTGCACCTTTGTCCGAACTGGTGAGGTTGGAGATCCTGTGCGCTCATTCCCCTGCACTGATTGCGGTTTGTGCTTTCGTTCAGCTGCGGCGTGTGCGGCACACCGCAGTGCACTCCACCTCCACAAATCCCCGGCATCTTTTGGTTTTGGAACGGCGTGCCAGATTTGCCGCAAGCAATACTGGACGAGAGACAGGCTCAGAGATCACCTTCGGCGCTCATCTCGCTGCGCGATGGTTTTCGAACACTGCGACATCGTCGAAGACGCTCCAACCCAGAAGGATGCCAAACGCTGCGCCCTACCGGTGGCGGATTTGATCGGGCCACAGCCATGGTGGGCTACCTTGGTTCCTAGCTCAGCCAAGGAAAGCCCACCCACTCCTACCCCTCCAACGGAAGGTCATGACATCTTCGACAGATTCCGGGGATGTATGGACTACAACCTGTTTTTGCTTCATAGGAAGAGGGTAGTCGAGAATGGCACTGGTGTAGAGATGCAGCACTTTTTTGAAAGCCAGGACTCTGGCACGGCTGAATGGCGATTGGCCAACAGCGTAGCAGCTGCAATCGGGAGGGAGGAGCTTGGTCTTTTCGTACAGAATGATCTTGCAGCCCTGATTTGCAGCAATTTTGTGTTGTTTGGTCCACACCGTGCAATTTTGCTTGCCGGGAAGGAGGACCTTACTGTACTCTAGGCACTGCTTGTTCGGAATTGATGAGTGCGTCGTCAAGACACTGACATCACCGGAAAAAAACCCTAAACCCTAAACCCTAAACCCTAAACCCTAAACCCTAAACCCTCACCCTTATAAAGAAGACCCGAAAAAGGGACCCCAATGGCCCAGATTGCTGGCCCACTGGGGCATTCCCGAGGAGAGCTGCGGGCTTCAGGGTTCAGATGCGTTTTCTTGTTTGGGGCTTCGGGGTTTAAGGTTTAGGGTTTGGGGGTTTAAGGCTTAGGGCTTAAGGGGTTTAAGGTTTAGGGTTTAGGGGCTTAAGGTTTAGGGCTTAGGGGTTTAAGGTTTAGGGTTTGGGGGTGTGAGGTGTAGCGTGTAGGGGCTTGAGGTTTAGGGCTCAGGGTGTTTAGGGTTGAGGGTTCAGGGGTTTCAGGTTTGGGGCTCAGGGTATTTAGGGTTGAGGGTTTAGGGGTCCAAGGTTTTGGGGCTCAGGGGTTTAAGCTTCAGGTCTCCGCTGTAAGGAATGGGGGCTTTGAGTTTTCGGGTTCAGGGTGTATGGGCTTTCAATCCACAGTGCGACTGCGTGTCCTGCAGCGGCTGTTCAGATGAGCAAGTCTTGTTAGGCTTATGTTGGGGGTTCGGAGGTCTGGAAACGAGGTAGACTAAACCCTCCCACGCCGCGGGGTAAGAGCAGATGTTTCGATTGGGAGCCTAAGCATTGAGCTCGAGTGCTCTCTCTTCGTTTTTGTCCCTCACCCTCTGTTCTCTGTCTTTTACCTATACCCCGAACCCTAAACTGGCCCTAAACCCTAAACCAAATCCTAAGCCCTTGACGCTGAACCGATGATTGGGTCGAGCACGAGAGCCTCGATAATTGGCTGTAGTTCCAAAGTCCAGAGCCTTAGTTTAGGGTGTCGGGTTGAATAAGTCTAGGGTTTAGGGTTCAGGGTGCAGGGATTAGTGTTAATGTTCAGGTTTTGGGGTTGAGGATTTACAGCTCAAAATGACTTATTGGAGCCATGGTACCGGAAGCTACAAGGCTAGTAGGGCTCTTTGTCCTTTGGGGCTTGAGCATTTTAGGATTCACGGCTTAGGGCTAGCCCAAAAAAGCCTGGCTGTTAAGAGAACGCATCTGGAGTCTATGATCAGGAACCAAAGAAGCAGGCTTTGGTACTTCAAGGTAGGTTGCTGACTATTTTTTTGAGTTGTAGAGTGACACGTCCGTCGTGGCTGAGACCGAGGCCGAACGCGGACAAATTTAAATTCCACGCGCTCGCAAGGGGAGATTGGAATTGGAGCCGCGGTCTCCATTTCCTTCACAAGTGCATGTCTGAAAAAGGAGCAAGATCGAGCCCTTCACGCCACCGCTGCGGCTCCTGGGTAGCGGGATGCTCATCGGCCGGCCTCGTGAACGGCGCCTTCTGTCATTGTAGCAATCCTTCTTGCAGCTGCCCGTGCGCATGCCCTTGGAAAGTTGGCCGCCACCTACTACCAGAAGCGGTGGCAGGGGTGCCTCGTGGAGCTGGCAGCAGCCTGTGTACGTCTAGCCTGTTTTTTGAAGACTTTCCGCTTGGTGAACAAGGGGCTGTTGACCAGCCTGTTGTCAACGTCAACTTTCTCGAAATGAGGCCATTCATGATGTGGCAAGTCGGCTGCCTCGTGGCCGCATCCGCACAAAACAACCAGGAATGCTGGATCGAACGCAGCTGGCGCATTTAAGAAAGACAAACTAGGAAGTCCCTAAACCCTGAACCCTGAACCCAGGCCGTAACTGTTTCCCTCATCTCAGAAAGCCCAGCACGAGACGGTAAAATTCCAGGCACATTCACGCTGAACCTAAACCCTACTGCACACCTTCAAACCCGAAACCCTAAACCCTAACACCCTAAAGCCCTACCTCCTAAACCCGAAAACCCTAAATCCCTAAACCCTAAAACTCTACCTCCTAAACCTGAAGCCCTAAAACCCTAAAGCCCTAAAGCCCTATACCCTAAACCCTAGAACCCTACAGCCCAGTATGTTTTTGGGCCACCTGGAGGGTTTCGGACTTTAGGGTTTGGGATCAGCGGATCCAGGGTTTAGGGTTTAGGGTTTAGGGGTTAGGGTTTCAGGGGTTTAGGGGTTTAGGGTTTAGGGTTTAGAGTTTAGGGTTTAGGGTTTAGGGGTTTAGGGGTTTAGGGGTTTAGGGGTTTAGGGTTGTTCTCCGAATTCGGGTCCTCTTTAGGGTCCTGTTGATAAGGGTGCTGTATTGCGGACTTGAAACGGGACCCTAATTCAGAGAACTACCCATATAGGGGTCTGAATAATTTGTCATATTCTCCCTAGGTTGTCCCTGTACAGTTCTAGTTATAGCAGAAGGTCCGCAAAATCCTATTTGCACTATCAAGGACCCTACTTCCGCCGGCGTAGTAGCCCTTGTAGAAGCCCTGTAATTTGACTGAACCCCTGTAGAAACCGTCTTCTTATTCACATGACTCTGAGCTCCCGGAAGTTTTGAACCCTGGGAATCTCACCCTAAACCCCTAAGCCCTAAACCCTAAACCCTAAGCCCTAAACCCTAAATCCTAAACCCCTAAACCCCAAACCCTCAACCCTAAAGCCTCAAGAAGCGACCAGAACCGCCAGGATCAGATCTCCATCTTTTGGGCACAGCTGCGGAAGCAGGTCCTGGAAGGGTTTGCGGTTCATGGTTTAGGGCTTGAGGGTTTGAGGGTTTAGGTTTAGGGTTTAGGGTTTCGGGTTTAGGGTTTAGGGTTTGAGGGTTTGAGGGTTTGAGGGTTTAGGTAGTTCTTTAAACTAGGGTATCTTTTTAGGGTCCTTTGTATAAGGCTGCCTTACTATATTGGGAACCTAAAAAGGGACCGAATTTAGAGAACTACAGATTTAGGGGTTGAGGGATTTAGGGTTTGGGGGTTTCGGGGTTCAGAAGTACTTTTCGGCAGGAACCTTCAGCTCTTGTGAGCCTGGGCCTTAAAGCAAACCCACCCGAACCTCGAAAGTCTTCACGGTGTAGGAGAGGGGCCTAAATAATTACTTATAATATTTTGGGAGCCCCTTATGAAGATTCTAGTATAATGGGCCCCAGAACCCTATTCTAATTATTAAGGCCCCTGTATTAAACCCTAAACCCTAAGCCCCTTACAGATCCCTTTATAGAACCCTTATAGATCCCTTTAAAGGGACCCAAAACCCTATTCTAATTATGAAGGCCCCTACATTAGGGTTTCGGGTTTTCGGGTTCGCCAGCGCCGCGTGGCGCTCAAGACAACTGGGGCTGCCCTAAGCAGCTCTAACCGTGCTAACATTCGCAAAATCGGTTCGCTTGCTTCAAAGAGTTCCATCGACCAGAGTTTTGACAGATTCTGGTGAAAGCCGAGAATCCTCCCCACGACAGCCCAAAATCCCTTCCCGCGAAAGCCCGAAGTGAATCCTCCCCACGAAAGCCCAGATCCCTAGCCCAGAACCCTCCCCACGAAAGAAAGCCCGACTCCCTCTCCACAAAGCCCGAAACCCCACCAAAGCCCAAATCCTCCCCACGAAAGCCCGGATGCTTCCCCACGAGAGCCCGAAATCCTTTCCGGAAGCCCGAATCCCGAACCCCACCGACAGGTCCTCCGTGTACATACAAACATATTACTCGAATTAGTTTTGCTTGGCTGGTGCTGGTTGATTAAAGGTTTAAGCAAAGTAGTTTGAGTTTCAATTGACGTTGGTTCTGATAATAAAAAACACAAAATGCTGCGCTGGCGCCCAAGGGCGCAGCCCCTACGTAGTTGGGAACCGACGTTTCTTTAATGTGAACTACGTGAGGCGGCCTGAACCAGCCTCCGACCCACAATCTAACAGTCCCTTATATGATGGCTTACGGTTTAGGGTTTAGGGGCTTAGGGTTGGTTCAGGGTTTGGGGGTTTAGAGTGTAGGGGCCACTCCAAGAAGATAATGGAAGCCCTAAGCCCTAACCCTCAACCCTCAACC